TTTAGTGTTGTTTTTCTGTGTGTGTATGATACGCATTAGTTATTATATTATTTGCCAATTATTTTTTTTTTGTGAGTCGAAATTATCGCTTTCCTGGAAAAATTATATTATCAAGTTTTTTTCCTGGCCAGTACTTTTCCAGTATTATATTCGAATTTTTATCGAAAATTCATCTCTATGTAAAATTCGATCTATTTGGTTTGTATTTATTCAGACATCAATGCGCGTTAAACTGTTATAAATTGTTTATAACAAACGACTTTTCGAATAAAAACCAAATTTTATGCTTGTCCATTCGTGATAAAATTATCTAGGAATTCTATCAGAGTTCTTTCAACGAGATATTTCTCAATATAAATTTTTATTCCGATAGGAAAAATCCGGTTTTAATACTGAAAAAAACTCCTGTATTTCTAAAATCAAACATGTCCATAAATATTTCCAATTTATCCGTTTAATCTCGTACTACAAAAGCCTCACACTATAAAAATCACAATTAACACTCACTATTCCTTAAAATTGATGTCGGCAATAAATAGCTATGCTAACAACCGCGGAAATTTCACCCGCAAAAATACATTATTAGCTCGCATTCTCCTCAGCAATTCAGTAACGAACAAGTAAAAAGTGACGAGTCAATTTATTCTGCAGTCCAGTTTCGAAGGAATATCTCTGAATCTAACAGAGTTATCAAAATTTCTCTTAAAATCTCTTTTAGAGAGTAGAAAAAGGGTTACAAAAAAGATATAAACAAAAATAATGCTATCTCTCTTTAATTCTCGAATATTCCCCGAAAAGGTACCAATAATTGAAGTGAGTTTTTCACCTCTGCTGAATGCCAGTATTGAATTGCTCGCAGGTATGACAAACGTAATGCCCCTGCTGGTGTCAATGACCCTTTTGGGTCTCCAAGAGTACTCGGCACAAGGTCCAGACCTCCTGGAGCAAATTTCCCAAGAGTTGGAGCCTCCGAGAATACCGGAAGGAGGATACCGAGTGGTAAGTACCCTGAGAAATCGAAGCAGTTCCCTGATCTCTTTACGTAAGACTTGATTTATTCAGTTGAATTGTGTACGCAGTCTTCTTCCAGTTTTCTCACTCCCGAGATCCTCAACTCCATGAGATCGGGTAGATTCAGTGAATCGCAATATAGTACCTCTTATGGTAATAATGGTAATGATATTACGTTCACTGAGCCAAGTCTGAGCTTCGAACCACCTGATAATTCAATTCCTATCGAGGATAAACCTGGTCCATCAATGGAACTCGTAAGTGGAGCAATTAGCGCAAGTTTTATTATCGTTCTGATGATTACTTTATTTTATTCAAAAAGGTTTTCGCATGGAGAACAGTTGATTTTGAATTCGAGAGTGAAGCAGCACGAGAGCGCGCGATATTCGAGGGTAATTACATTCCAGAGAATAATTTACCACTGGGTCTGGAACTCTGGCATGACAGAGTCTTCGTGACACTTCCCAAGTGGAGGAGTGGAGTACCTGCAACACTTACTACTGCCCCGAGGTTTACCAAGGACAAGAGTCCCAAATTGAGGCCCTATCCCAGCTGGGGATGGCATCATCAAGGTAATTGCACAATCCATGCTCATCCTGTAAATTCAAGTAGAGTTTTTCCCCTCTATCTTTTGAATCGATCTTTTCCGATCGCTCAATCAGTCGAATCTACCTTTATTCATTGACCCCTATTTTCTGTCATTCATTTTTTATTTCAATTGTTATAAACTTCCACTCTCATTTTTTTTCGGCCAATCGATTGGGTACGGCATTTATGAACATTATTTTAAATTGATCGATTAATTAATGTTGTGTTGCGCAAAAGTTGTTAAAATTATAATGCTGCACTAAAAATTATTTGTTTGCAAAACATTGGATAGAAAGTCTTAAAAATTCTTGTTTTATTCGATACTTGGTAGTAATTTTCGAGTCGCACGAAAAAAATTGCATAGAAAAACAAATTCAGTGGGGAAACTGGAAACCTAGGGAGATAGCGATGTTTTTGCTGGTTATTTTTTTGTGGTCAATTGAGATCGTCATAAAAGGCAATTTGCTAAATTTTCGAATTTCATCATTATTAAAGGACTCCTAAAATGTCATGATCGTGCAAAAATTTTTTTGCATGCATTCTAAACTTTTCCAAAACTCATAAATCGGAAAAAAAAATACCGGAAAATTATTGCACGCAAACAATAATGAAATACGTGCACGGTATATTTTTTCAAGTCAACCGAATCCCCAATTTGTCAAAAGACTGAAAAATCCGTAGATTTTTTA